GGGGGAGAGAGAGAGAGAGAGAGACAAAGAGAGAGAGAGATCTTCCATCTGCCGGTTCACTCCCCAAATTGTTGCAATGGCTGGAGCTGGGCTGATCCCAAGCCAGGAGCCAGGTGCTTCTTCCAGGTCTCCCACGTGAGTGCAGGAGTCCAAGCACTTGAGCTGTCTTCCACTGCTTTCCCAGACCATTAGCAGGGAACTGGATTGGAAATGGAGCAGGCACCATATGGAATGCTGGTGCCTCAGGCATCCACAGTGCTGGATGCCATAGTGCCGGCCCCTCTTTTATCATTTAATAAACTAATTTTTTTGTGGCATCTGGTGTAATACTGGGAAAAGGCTGAAATCCAGTATGGCCTATTGTATGCTCTCACAACATAGACCATGTCTGTGATCCCAAAATGTGCAGGGATTTCTTCCTACCAGCAAGCAAACCATCAATTCTGTGGTGGACACCAGCTTGGTGTCTTCTCATTTGGTTCAATTTTGGGATCATTGATCTGGAGATAGTGTCAGGTCCCACAGGTTAAGAGATCAGTCTCCTGGGCTGTTCCCCAGTTTAGATACAGTGACAAGTCTGGGCCTCCAGAATTTCTGCCTGGCTGACTGTAAACTTCGTGTTTCTATGACCTCCTCTGTGATTCAATTAATTTGTTGGAGTGGCTCACAGAACTTAGGGAAACACTATGCTTTTATTAACCGGTTTATTAAAAAGGATGTTTTAAAGGGCACAAATAAGCAGCGAGATGAAAATAATACAGGATGAGATCTGGAGAAGTCCTAAATCCAGGGACTTCTACCCTGTGGAGTTGGAGTGCACCACCCTCCTGGCAAATGTGTATGTTCTTGTTCATCTTCCTGCAAACTTCCATGTGGTTAGCTGTCTAGGAGCTCTCTGAACTCTTTTTTTTTTTTTTTTTTTTGTGGAGACACCATTGGATGAGCATGACTGAAGTATGGACAACTGTGTTGAAATGTGATTAGACCTGAAGGGTATGATCTGATGCTAATAGGCTAAATGGGGGAGCCCGATAAAACATATTGGTCCTGTTTGTACAGATTCTTGTTGACCTCTCTGTGCAGCAGTTCTTCCTCTCTCTAATGTGGTAGGACTTCTTCTGAAATGAAGATCTTATCATCTACTATCAGACAAGGTAGATCAGAAAATTTCTTTATGGTCAGCTCTAAGACAGAAAGTCGGTGGGAGATTAGAATGTATTTTTAGTTTCTATGACTCACCTTGGGAAAAAGAAATTCTGGTAGTTATGGCCTGCCTTGGAGAGAAAGTGGATCACATCAAAGGAGGGCAAGAGAAGGTGTGTGTGTGTGTGTGTGTGTGTGTGAGAGAGAGAGAGAGAGAGAGAGAGATTTTGCTTCCTGAGTCCTAAAATATTCCAATATTTTAACAACAGAAAGTCTTTTACCTTTATCACTGTGAAACTGTTCCATAGCTGATTCAGGAACAAAGGACAAAAGACCAAATTCTTTCACTATATTGCTCTAGTCATTTAGGAAATAGGGCTATAGGAATTATTACCCAGGAACCATGAAGGAAAAGCAAAAAACACATATCATAATAGCAAAGTCTAATCCTACATTTTATTATACATTTTTTTAAAGATTTATGTATTCAAAAGGCAGAGTTACAGAGAGGCAGAGGCGGAGAGAGAGAAAGAGAGAGAAGTCTTCCATCTACTGGTTCACTCCCCAGATGACTGCAATGGCTGGAGCTGTGCCAATCCAAAGCCAGGAGTCAGGAGCTTCCTCAAGGTCTCCCATGTGGGTGCAGGAGCCCAACCATTTTCCACTGCTTTACCAGGCCAAAGCTGAGAGCTGGATCAGATGTGGAGCATCTAGGACTTGAACCGGCGCCCATATGGGATGCCGGCACTGCAAGCAGTGGCTTTTACCCACTAAGCCCAGTGTTGGCCCCTAATTCTTTTTTCTCACTTATGGTAGATTATTTCTTCCTGTGTTACATTTTGAATTGTGAGCTTATCTTTATTGAGACTTTATCTGTAGGATCCTGGGAAATCTGTGCTGAGAGTGTTCTCTCTAAATGCAGTGCTTTTGCATTGATTTCTTCCAGGTACTCCAGGAGCAGTACCAACCAAGGATCATTTATAATGCTAGTTTGTTAGCTTGGGGATTATTACACTGAATGACAATATAAGTGTGAATCCCAATATAGTTTGTTATTGTCATGGAAGTTTCCTTATTTTCTTTCTACCCAGAACTTTGGTTGACTTTTATTTTCTCCTTACATTTTGTTTTCTTCCTTTTCAATTTTTGGCACATTTTAACAATTAACTTTTTAGATTTTATTTTTCTTAGTGTTTTTGAGTGTGCATTTTATCTTATTATTTTTAAAATATTTACTAATTTATTTGAAAGGTAGAGTTTCAGAGAGAGAGAGAGAGAGAGAGAGAGAGAGAGAGATCTTCCATCAACTGATTTTCTCCCCAAATATCTGCAATGGCTGGAGTTGTGGCAGTCCAAAGTGAGGACCCAGGAGCTTCTTCTGGATCTCCCACATGGGTACAGGGGCCCAAGCACTTGGGCCATCCTCTGCTAACTTCCCAGGCACCTTACAGGGAGCTGGATCAGAAATAGAACAACAGGGATTTGAACCGGTGCTGATATGGGATGCCAGTATGGTAGGTGGCAGCTTTATCCACTATGCCACAACAGTGGTCTGAGTGTGCATTTTATAAAGTTTTGGTAGTGCTTATTCTGGTTACTAGAATATACCTGTTACACATATCCCCATCTCCTGCTATCAGTATCATCACTTTCAGTGAAGCATGAAAACATTTCTTCCTTTTAGATCCCTTTATCATATCAATATTAAATGTTAGTTTTTGAGTATCAGAAGGTGCTATAATTTTTGTTTGATTCATCAATTTTTGTCAGAATAATCAGAAATGTACTCTATTGTGTGTACCCATACATATTTTTTCCTGAAAATTTCAAGTTTCTTTCTTTTATTATATCCTCTCTGTTTTAAGAAATTCCCTTAACAATTATTTTATTTTTATTTTTAAAAGAGATTTATTTATTTATTTGAAAGGCACAGCTACAGAGAGAGGAAGAAACAGAAAAGGAGAGATATTCCATCTGCTGGATTTACTCTCCAAATGGCCACAATGATGGGGGATGGACCAGGCTGAAGCTGGGACCCCGGAACTCTATTTGGTCACCCACTTAGGTGGCAGGGGCCCAAGTACCTGGGTTGCTTTGCACTACTTTCCAGGAGAATTAGCAGGGAGCTGAACTGGAAGTGAATTTCCCTTTTATGATTTTCGTTTGAGAAAGAGACCTCCATCTGCTAGTTCACTCCCCAAATCCCCACAATAACTAAGTCTAGACCAGGCCAAAGTTAGGAGCTGGGAACTCAGTACAGATCTCCCAGTTGGGTGGTAGAGACCCAAGTACTATATCCATCATTTGCTATCTCCCATGGTGCACATTCGCAGGAAGCTAGAATCAGGAGCAGAGCTGAGACTTGAACACTGATACAGGATGTGGTGACCCACTGTCTTGCCTATGTGTTAGATGCCTATACCTAAACATTATTAAGAGAAATTCCTTGACTGCCTCTTACATTATATTTGGGTTTATAGTTATGCTTATCAGGGAGGAGTAGGAAGAAACCATGTCCACACAATTTTGTCCAGGCTCTGGACAAGTAGTGCTCTACTTATTCATTTTTAAAATTTGGAATTTAAAGTTCCCATGATTATATTACCTAATCAAATCAATGTTTTTATATATGTAATGTTTTATATTAGATTTTACCATGCACAAATTATAGATAGATTTTATGCTACATTTTCAGTTTATGTTTTATTGTAAATATTTTTATATTGTTCTTATTTTGTCTATTTTATTAATTTATAATGAAATTATTTTTGAAAGTGATTTGAAGAATTTGTGAGCAGTTTTGTTTCTTTTATTTAAAAGATTTATTTATTTGAAATGCAGAGTGACAGAGAAAGAGAGCGAGAGCGAGAGAGAGAGAGAGGTATCTACCATCTACTGGTTCACTTCCTAAATGCTCAGAACAGCCAGAGCCAGGCCAGGCCAAAACCAGGTCTCCCATAAACGTGGGAGGAGTCCAAGTGCTTGGGGACATCATTTGCTGCTGTCCACATTAGCAGCAAGTGGGATTGAGAGTGAAAGTGTCTGCACTTGAACAAGCATTCCATTATGGGATGCAGACATCACACATGGTGGCCTAACCTGCTGTGCCACAATACCCACCTTGAACAGCTATGTTTTGAGAAACTGAGGACCTTTCTCACTTTCTAAAATTATCTCAAGAAGATTACTTCTCGGCTTCTATTTGGTTCATTCACTTGTAAAACAAAGTAGTTAGGCCAGATAAGCTATAGAATCCAGTTAAGCTTTGAAATGTATCCTGTCTAAAAATTAGGATTACCCCTGGCCAGTCTGAAAGAGTAGATGGAGATTTTGAAGGATGTTATCAGCAGCAGACAAACTTCTGCTAATATTTTCCGTCCCAGATCACAGAGTAGAAACAAGAGCTGTCCATGCTATCCAAGGTCAGTGAGTAAGTGAGTAGCATGTTCTAACTCTGCCACTGAATTGAGGAAATCCCAAATGTTGGAAGTCCTCTGGAAGGTGTTAACAGAAAAAATATCTAGGAGTTCCTTAAGCAGCTAAAATTGATTTCCTTAGAACATTTGTTGAGGGGTAAGGAAAAGTCTGAAAATTTGAAAATGTAGCTTTAGGAGGAAAAATTGGAGGCAAGTAGGGTTAGGCCATGCTTTAAAAATGGTTTAGTGGGAGAAAGTATCTAATGATCTTCTTCAAGGACACCTTGAGACATTTTATATTTTAGAATATAATAATCAAAAGAATCTTTCCCTGGTATAAGTGTGATTTTTTCCCTACTTCTCTTAAAAAGCAGTAATTTTCTTTTAGTAGAATACCTGAAGGCTAAGAGAAGCACAGAATGATGAAGTGCTCTGCCTTAGGTACTGCTGACAGTGGTGGAGTGAAGATTGGAATTCATCTGCTCACCTTTAACCTGCTGCTCTTTCTATTACCAATGGAGTCACCATGTTTCAGCTCCTCAGAGAACAGAATCAATAGAAACAAGCTTAGTGTATGGCCAGGTAGGCTTAAATTAGACAAGATATTTCCTATAAGTGACAGTTGTGAGAGAATGAACCTAGCTGGACCACTTCTCTAAATCTTTAATATTGGGGCTCCCTAAAACCAGCATTGTGGTATGGCAGGTAAAGCCACCACCTGTGACCCTGGCATCCCATATGGATATTTGTTCGAGTCCTGGCTGCTCCACTTCTGATCCAGCTCCCTGCTAATGTGTAAGTCTCCAAGTCCCTTTCCTCTTTATGTTCTTGGGCTAGACTACATGATATCATATAACCTTTAAGGACACTTCCAGGTCTAGAATCCTGTAAGACCGTAATATATAGTCTATGTTCTCAAGTAGCCTATGATCTCATGGGAAGGTAATGCTCAAATTCACACACACACACTCACTCACTCACACTGCCTTTCCTTTCTATTCTTCTCATTTATCTCTGGAACCCTTCAGTTTGATGAGATTATCTATACACCATATCCTTAAAGTATTAATAATGCCAACCCACAGAATATGAAACATGCTTGTAAAGCTAGATCCAAAGTTAAAGAAAATTGGTTCTTTTTTTTAAAGACTTATTTATTTATTTGAAAGTCAGAGTTGCAGAGAGAGAGAAGGAGAGGCAGAGAGAGAGTCTTCCATCTGCTGGTTCACTCTCCAACTGGCCACAATGGCCAGAGCTGTGCCGATCAGAAGCCAGGAGACAGGAGCCCCTTCCTGGTCTCCCACTTGGGTTCAGGGGCCCAAGGAGTTGGGTTATCTTGTATTGCTTTCCCAGGCCACAGCAGAGAGCTGGATCTGAAGTGGAGCAGCCGGGACTTGAATCAGTGCCCATATGGGATGCTGGCACTGAAGGTGGTGGCTTTACCCGCTATGCCACAGTGCTGACCTCAAATTGATCCTTTTGACTACTACATCCCCCCTTGTTAAAAATGCCAATGTCAAGTCCGAATAATTCTTCAGTAGTAGACAAAGTCTCCATATTCCAGAATAATTAGGGGAAAAATATAACATTTTGTTAAAAGAGGGCTGTCATATACTGAAATTACTTCAAAAAGTTCATGAAAATGGAATTAAAAGATAAGTTTATTATTTTAAAGTATTTTTAAAATTTATTTGACAGGCAGAGATGTAGACAGTGGGGGAGAGACAGAAAGAAAGGTCTTCCTTCTATTGGTTCACTCCCCAATTGGCCGCCACGGCTGGCGCTGCGCTGATCCGAAGCCAGGAGCCAGGTGCTTCTTCCTGGTCTACCATGGGGGTGCAGGGGCCCAAGCACTTGGGCCATCCTCCACTGCCCTCCTGGGCCACAGCAGAGAGCTGGACTGGAAGAGGAGCAACTGGGACTAGAACCCAGCCCATATATGGGATGCCGGCACCACAGGCAGAAGGATAACCAAGTGAGCCACGGCACTGGTCCCAAAAGATAAGTTTATTTTAATGCATAAAATTTTGAAATCCATGCATATGAATGGTCTCCAAAAATCCATGGAAAATATGTATTATATCAAAAGTTTGTGAGGACTTCAATTTTTATTTTGCACCAAAATGAACTTTTAATTCAATTTCCACAAATTGTTTTCAAGTATCCCTATAACACACATAGATTACTAATGTTGAAGTAAGTTTACTATAGTGAAATCTACCATATAAAAGCTGGAGCAGTACTTGTGGTGATTTAGAAAGTCCTGTCATGGTCTCTGAGGGTTTTTATATCATTATGAGCAAATCTCATTATTTAGGACACCAACTGGGCCAATATAGGAGACTGAGCTGAACTTCTGCTGATACATGGACTCCCAGGTGAAAATTTATATATAATCTGTCTGATGTATGTTTGATTTCTTTGACGCTTATCTCTTTCATAAAAGTACAAGGCTGAGAAAAATGTTTATTTTAGCTTGACTTTTGTTTGGGTTATCAGAAACAGAGGACTTTTAGTCCTAGTTTCTTACCATTTTCCAAATTAGTTTTCTCATCTATGGTTTCATCCACTGTTCTGGCATTCCTGTGGTTAGGAAGAGACAATGCTCATGAATAGGAGTCACTGTGCACTTACTCCTCATGTAGGATCTCTGTCCTTAATGTGTTGTACATTGTGAATTAATGCTATAACTAGTACTCAAACAGTATTTTACACTTTATATTCTGTGTGGGTGCAAACTGTTGAAATCTTTACTTAATATATGCTAAATTGATCTTCTGTATATAAAGATAATTGAAAATGAATCTGGATGTGAATGGAATGGGAGAGGGAGCGGGAGATGGGAGGGTTGCAGGTGGGAGGGAAGTTATGGGGGGAAAAAGCCACTGTAATCCATAAGCTGTACTTTGGAAGTTTATATTTATTAAATAAAAGTTAAAAAATTAAAAAAATAAAAAAAGGAAGAGACAATGCCAGCACCATACTCATCCTATGGATGGGCAGGCAGAACTCCTAGTCATCAGTGAATTAGTTTCCCAGGGCCTCTGCCCGGACATCCAGGCTGGTCCTCCTCTGTATCCTCATGTATTGCTCTGCATCAAGAGCAGAGTGGAACAGAGATTTCTTCTCTTCTTCAGACCACATGTCCTGACCCTCTGCCGGTTGGATGAAGGCTTTGCAGTCTCGAGAGCTCTTTTCTAAAGAGATGGAGGAAGAGCAGCTTTAAGCCAGGAGTTGGGGGATTAAGATTCACATTCTAGCTTCACCTGAAACTTCTCAGCCTTTACCAAGAACAAACATTACAGATTCCCCAAGTCTCAGTTTCTCTATCTGTAGTCCTTCTGCCCTTCCAAACTTGTGAAATCTGGTGAGGAGCAGATGAGGTAACTGGCAGGGAAGCCTACGCAGAGCCACCTGGATGAGAGGTTTGTTTTGTTGCTGTCTTTTGCTTCCTGTTTCTGTAGATTCAGTGCCAGATCCTGGAAAGGAGGTGTTTCATGCTTGATCTGAAGTTTAGAATCTTGCATGGTTGTGGCTGCAAGTCAGAGTGATGCAGCACCTGTGAAGAATTCTCTCCCGGGAGCTGATGTTGTGGCACAACAGGTTAAGCTGCAACCTGTATTGCTGGCATCCCCTATCAGAGTGCCTGAATCCAAGTCCCTGCTCCACTTCCTATCTAACTTCCCATTAAAGTGCATTGGGCCCTTGCCTACCCACGTAGGAAACCAGGATGGAGTTCCTAGCTCTTGGTTTTGTCCTGGCCCAGTCCTAGCTGTTGCAGCCATTTGAGTATTGAACCAGCAGATGAAAGATCTTTTGTCTCTCTGTCTCTCCCTCTCTCTTTGTCACTCTACCTTGCAAATAAATGAGCAAATCTTAAGACTAATAATTCTCTTCTAGCTGAGGTTTAAGTTAATCTCTAGAAGGTCAGTTAAGTTCTGAGAGACTGACTTGAGCCTCCTCCCACTTGTCTACTCACCCACTCTGGCTCTGCAGGTGGCAGGCCTCACCTATAAACGCAGCAGCTAGAAGACCAAGAGGGGTAACTTCAGATCCTTTGGTGCCTGCGCTTGCAATTATTCTCTGTCCTAGGAGGAGTCTTCCAAAAGGTCATGGACAATAAATATTACGAAAAAACTATGTGTGGACATAAACATTTTTTGCATCAAAATAAACTGTCTTCTTTTTTTAAAGATTAAGTGCCCAGGGTTATACAGCTGATCAGTGTTTTTTTCTATTTTTTATAAGATTTTATTTATTTATTTGAAAGGCAGAGTTACAGAGAGGCAGAGGCAGAGAGGGAGTCTTCCATCTGCTGGTTCACTCCCCAAATGGCCTCAATGGATGGAACTGGGCTGATCCAGAGCCAGGAGCCTGGAGCTTTTTCCAGGTATCCCATGATGGTGCAGGGGCCCAAGTACTTGGCCCATCTTCCACTGCTTTGCTAGGCACATTAGCAGGGAGCTAGATCAGAAGTGGAGCACTGGGACTGGTGCCCATATGGCACCATATGGCATATGGGTTGCTGGCACTGCAGGTGTTAGATTTACCCACTATGACGCAGTGCTGGCCTCCAAAATAAACTTTCAATTCCATTTTTACATGAACTTTTTGAAGTGCTCATGTATCTGAACTCCATCATCAACATGAATATTGTCCTTGAGAACTTTCTGTTAGTTCTGTAACTGTGCTGTGTAATACAGCGAACACTAGTCACACATAGCTATTGTTAAATACACAGACACGGCCGGCGCTGCGGCTCACTAGGCTAATCCTCCGCCTTGCAGCGCCGGCACACCGGGTTCTAGTCCCAGTCGGGGCTCCGGATTCTGTCCCGGTTGCCCCTCTTCCAGGCCAGCTCTCTGCTGTGGCCAGGGAGTGCAGTGGAGGATGGCCCAAGTACTTGGGCCCTGCACCCCATGGGAGACCAGGATAAGTACCTGGGTCCTGCCATCGGATCAGCGCGGTGCGCCAGCTGCAGCGGCCATTGAAGGGTGAACCAACAGCAAAGGAAGACCTTTCTCTCTGTCTCTCTCTCTCTCACTGTCCACTCTGCCTTTCAAAAAATAAAAATAAATAAATAAATACACACACACACACACACACACAAATGCATATATAGAGAGAGTCAGAGGCAGAGATCTCCATCCACTGGTTTACTCCCCAAATGCCTGCAACAGCTGAGACCAGGCCAGGGTGAAACCAAGAACCATGAGGCTCAGTGACCCAACTACCTGAACTATCACCTCTTGCCTCCCACGGTGTTCACTAGCAGGGAACAGGAATTGGAAGTGAGCTGGGACTCAAATCTAGGTGCTCTAATATGGAATGTGGGCATCCCAAGTGGTATCTTAACTGCTGGGCCATTGACTGCCTCCAAATGTAGTTTTTGAGTTTTTGAAAGGTTACCGATGTGACAGAGAAACTGAATTTTATTTTAATTTGAATGAGTTTGAATGGCCACATGTGGGCATATAGATGAAAGTGTTTCTCCTTTTCATTAAATGTCCAGAAAACCTCTATTAAAATGCTTATGTATTATTATTATTTTAAAATGAGGCCATATGGCTAAAGATGAGGCTTTGGCATGTGTGGGGATAGGGGACAAGAGAGGAGAGGAGAGTTGCCAGAAAGGCCAGCTTGTTGGCTCCCAGAAGGCCTCCAATGGAACATCTGGCTTGCAGTCTTACAGGCTCAGAAACTAAATTTGTCAGGACATGGGGAATCAAATTGATCTTCAGGGGTTGGGAGCCCTTTAATCAAGTTCCGCAGACTGCGGTACTCAATCAGAAACCCAGCACATCAAAGTTCAGGGGAGATTGTAGCCTCCCTCTGAATGGGATGACTTTGGGACTGGTCATTTTCTACATGAAAACAGTCTGAAGTTGGCAGTGTTTGAGTGAGCATGCACTAAGAGCTATTAGTGATTCAAACAGTTGATGGCAATGTACTTACTGCAAGGTGAATCTCATCTGTCTTAGGAATGGTTTGGCTATGTTTCTGACCACAGCCCTTTCTTCCTGAATGGTGCTTCGGTGGCTTTAAGCAGCTTTTATTTCCTAAAGGCTTATTTATTTTTATTTGAAAGGCAGAGAAGGGGAGGGAGAGGGAAAGAAAGAGGGGGTGGAGGGAGGGAGGGAGAGAAAGAGAGAGAATCATTTTTCCATGCCTACTGCTACTGTGCCAGACCAAAGCCAGGAGTCCAGAACTCCATCTGGGTCTCCCATATGGGTGGCAGGGACTCAAGTACTTGAGCCATCATCTGATGCCTCCAAGGAGTACATTAGCAGGAAGCTGGACTGGAAGCTAAATAGCCTGAATTAGAACCAGGCACTCTGATATAGGATGCAGGTGTCCCAAGTAGCAGCTCATCCCATTGCACTACAAAACTCATCCCTAGTTTTTGCTTCTGACTCTACTTCATTTCCCAAGCTTTTTAATGATTGACCAGACTCACACCCATTATCTTAGTCTACTGCAGCTGTTATAACAGAATACCACAGACTGAGTGGCCTGTAAGCAGTTCTGGAAGCTGAGATGTCCAAACCATGGACCAAGATTCCGAATCTACTGAGTATCTCATTTCTTGCTTACAGCTGTCCTTTCACTGTGTTCTTATTTGACAGGAGGGGTGAGGGAGCCCTTAGGAGCCTTTATAGTAGTGGCATGAGGGCTCCACCCTTATCTAATTATGTCACATACCTACCTCCTAGGAGGGAGAGAGAGAGAGAGCACTCATCTACTGGTTCAGTCCCCAGACGCCCTCAAAACTAGGAGCCTGGCATTCAATCTAGGTCTCTCCTGTGGGTGGCAGGAGCCTAATTAGTTTACTGTCAGCACTGTTTCCAAGGGTCTGTGTTAGCAGAAAGCTAGAGAGTTAGGAAGCAGAGGCGGCACTTGAATCCAGGCACTGTGACATCAGGTGCAGCTGTCTTAACTGCTAGTCCAAATGCCCACCCTGGGATCTCCCAATTTAAAGAAGTTAAACATCTGAATATTAATGTGAAACCTCCCATTTTTTCCCCAAGCATAAAACTAATTGAGTTAAAACTCAACACTGGATGCAAGCCTAACAAATTGGATTAGCCCATGTCCTCTGGTTTGTGGTTTCTAGGTATCATAGGAGGCCCTGGCATGGGAGTCTGTGATTTGGAGCTCTAGAGTAGCCATGCCTCTACAGCAGTATGACACTTCTGGGAAGGCACATCCCTCTGGCTGCTCAGACTGCTCCTCTGAGTCTGAGATTTCCTGTTACTTAGTGCTAGTGCTCTACGGGTGATGTAACAAAATACCACATACTGGGGAATTTAAATAATAAAACTTGATTTCTCACAAATCTTGAAGCTGAAGTCTAAGATCAAGGTGTTGACAGGTTTGGTTTTTCCTGTGACCTCTCTCTTTAGTTTGTAGATGGCAACTCCCTTTCTGTGTCCTCATGTGGCCTTTTCTCTGTGCATACACAGAGACACATATCTGGTGACCCTTTTTATAAGGATACCAGTCCTATTGGATTAAGACCTCACCCTTATGACCTAATTTCACCTTAGTGACCTCCCTATTAGCTCTATTTCCAAAAACAGTCACAGTAGAGGTTAGGACTTCCTCATATGAATTTGGACAGGAGTGGCACTAGGGCAGGGACACAGTTCAGTCCATCACTTGATGTGAGAATCTGTATTTCATTGACAGGGTCACTGAGGCTAGGCTGTGACCTGGCTGTTTTCCTCTTGGGTTCATGCTCTTGCCCCTCTGAGTCCACCCTCCATCCTGTTTCACCCTGCCCTGTCCTGGGGAGGCTGACCTCTCTAAATGACAT